GCTGCCGACGGCGCGCTCAGTGCGCCTCGTTGGTTGGGAGGTCGCGCCCACGCGCTACCAGTTGATCTCCAGGACTTGTCTTGTCGTTCAGTGGCGCGGCGTGCACCTTTCCACGCACGTGCCGCTCAGTGGCACTGTCTAACTTCAGTTTGCTGCTCATTGCTTGCTTGCGTGGGGCTCTGCAGCATGTTCAGCCTGTTGCATTGCCAATGGCGCGTGTTGGAGACATTGGTGCAGCGTCAGTTTGCTGCATCGCTTCGCGCGCATGTTTGCGGCGTGCATTGTGCCCTTTGTCAGTTCGTCGCATGGGCTTGCAGGAACGTGGCGCCACGCAGTCATCGTGCCCGTGGCCAGTCCTCTGGATTCAAGTCTGCGAGTCAACCGTCGCCCGCGCCGCCTCAGACGTCGCGGGTGATTCTGCTTCCATGGAGGTCTCTGTCGCGCAACTGCGTGAAAAGATTTCGGAATCGGAAGCCAAGTATGCGGCCGCCAGAGGGCCCCGCGTGAACCTCGGAGTTTTGCGTGGCTTGGGCGCCCATCCTGACTTCTTACATTGGTGGGACTTTGGCAGGCCTCTCACCTTCTCGACGCGAGTTCTTGCCTGACACTTTTCCAAGTACAAGTCTTTGACCGACATCGTCGAATTCGCAGAGCGCGAGTGGGACCGTTTAGAACACCTCGGCAAAAGTGCGTTTCTTCCCCTGGGTTTGGGTCCCAGCTGAGCTGTTTGTGAACCCGTGCGGGCTCGTCTTCAAAGAACGTGAAAACGGGTTTTTCAGACTGCATGTTTGACCTGTTCAAATCCAGACTTATTGTTGGCTTTTCTCGGAGCGGTGTCAACGACTCCGCCGACGACGTCCCAGTGTAATGCGGCACAGTTGACAACATTGTATCTAGAATTTCTCCTGGCAGCTGGCTGTTTGTTCTTGACTTGGCCGACGTATTCTTCAATTGGAAAGCTCACAAAGACGACGTTATCAAATTCGGGCTTTTGGTCGCCAGGCCGTCAACAATACGGACCGTATTTGTATGTTGGTTCCAAACAGTCCTAAATCGTGCCAAAACGCTGTTCCTGAAACTTCAACCGCGCGAATCTTCAAGACTGATGCAACCTTTAAACAAGCGCGCGGCGCTAAGGCGAGACCCACATGTTGAGAAGCACCCGCTCTTCATCTTCGAAATTACTACAACGTTTTAAAACGAATGCGCGCTGCGCTAGAATTAGAACCACGTTTCGGGACAATCCCGCCCTCCATTCTTGAAGCTCTTGCAAACCTGAAGACTGTGCGGGGCGCTAAGGCGAGTGCCACATTCTGCCAACCACCCGCCTTTCATCTTCGGATTTATTGCATACTCATGTTGTAAGGCGAATGTGCGCGGCGCCAGAGCTAGAATCATATAGTGAGAAATGCCCACCCTCCTTCGTTGAAGCTTTCGTAAACTTGACGAGCTTGCGCGGCGATCAGGCGAAAACCACATTTTCAAAAGACCAGTCCTCCATCTTTGAAATGTTTTGCCAGCTTTTAGACGAATGTACGTGGCGCTGAGGCGCGAGCCAAATTCTGGAAGCCACCAGCCCGTCATCTTTCAAAATGCTGCAAAGACAAATCATAATACGTTAAGCCGTTTTAGGCGAAACGGCCGGCCCGCCCGCCGGACAGTTCCGGGGGTCAGACGGGGAGGAGTGGTTTATAAGGAGCAGGGATGGAGGAAGAGGAGGAGGCGGAGACAACCGTTTGAAGATCCTGAAGCGTGCCACAACACCGTTCTCATGACTTCAAGACCACAAGTCAATCTGACTGTTGCGTCTTGGCGATCGTGGGTCGCGCCAGAACGCCATTCCTGGGACTCCAACGCCGCGAATCAACGTAACCGTTGCGCCCTGACAGTCCTGAACCGCTCCAAGACATTATTTCTGGTACGGTAGCTATGAGGAGCAGTGAAGCTCTAGCGATTTGTTACACCGAATGCGTGCGGAGCCGCTAAGGCGAGAGTCACTTTTGAACACCAGTGGTCCTCCATCCATGGCACGCCTTGCACATGTTTCAAACGAATGCGTGCGGCGCTAATGCGAGAGCCTCATTTTGAAATCGAGCCGCTTTCAATCCGTGAAAATCTTGCAAGGTGTGGAACGAACGTGCGTGGTGTGTAGGCGAGGGCCACATTTTTAAAACAACCTGTCCTCAATCCGTGGCACTCGTTGCACATGTTTAAAACGAGCGTGCGGCGCTAATGCGAGAGCCACATTTAGAAACTTATCTGTCCTCAATTGCAATTGTTTGAAAGGAGTGTGTCGCGGCGCTAAGGCGAGAGCGACATTTTAGAGACGACTTGCCCTCCATTTGTGAAAATGTTGCCATTTTTGAAGCTTGGGGCTCATCAGTGGTAAGGAAGTCTCAGACGAAGCGCCCGGCCCGCCCTTCCGATTGGTTCCAGGTGCGTAAGGGACGAGTGATTCATAAGGCAAAGAAATGGATCATGATGATGATGTGAATGATGATGATGATGATGATGATGATGATGATGATGATGATGATGATGATGGTGAAGACGATCATAATGATGATGATGATGATGATGATGATGATGATGATGATGATGTTGTTGATGATGATGATGATGATGATGATGATGATGATGATGATGATGATGATGATGATGATGATGATGATGATGATGATGATGATGATGATGATGATGATGATGATGATGATGATGATGATGATGATGATGATGATGATGATGATGATGATGATGATGATGGGATAATAATCGTAGAGCATGAGTGTTGATGTGCACCGACAGTTTGGGGTGGGATCGTGGAATTTTCCTTGGAGCCTCGGAGCCCGCAGGGGCGTGCCAGCTTGTTGGGGGGCCTTTTCGCCGGTGGGCCTCGTTCCCGGCCTGGCTCCCCTCGGCCCTCCAAAACGGGTGGGCTCGGTAGGTTGTGTTTTGGTTGCCCGTGAAGGCCCCCCTGCCCTCGCGTGTGCGGCACGGCCTGCTCCGCAACCGTACCATATGGCTCCAATCTGGTACAGATTATCGCGAGGTCTGGGCGCCCAGCCCACCTCGCAGCAGGGCGCGGCATGACGCCCTGACGGGAGCAGCGGCTCCACCCGTGGAATCGAAGATTGTGCGAGGCCGCGGCGAGCGGCCCAGGAGCAGCAGGCCGCGGCGAGCTGGTGTGCTGGGCGCTGTGGGCCTGCGGCGCGGCGGACGCCAGGCAGAGCTGGATGGCCGTGTCTGCAGACGCCAAGAAGGCGGGGGCCGAGGCGCTGCGGGGCGGGGGTGCCGACGTCACAGACGACGACGTCGCCGAGCTCGTCCTGAAGGTGAGGTCGACGCTGAGCGCAGGGCGAGCCCCCCGCTCCAAGCGGGACGAGGCACGGCGCCTGGAGGCGGCGCTGGACCCGGTGGCCGTCCGCCTGGCGTCGGGAACCCCGAGGTGCCAGGCTCCGAGATGGCCGAGGCCCTCTGGGGGTTCACAGCGGCCGCCACTGTCGCCACGCAGACGGAGGGTCGGATCAGACGAGTGGCGGCCGACGCCGATGGCTGGGAGACGATCGCGGATCGGATCTGGGCCCGAGCGGTGGGGGCCGACGGGAACTCGCTGCCCGTCGACTGGGTGCTGCACCTTGGCATAGGTCTCCTCCTGTCGAGCCTGGCGGTGGTGCTGGGGGCCGACTCAGTGCGACACCGCCTGGCAGGCGGGGCTGTGGGGCTGGTCGGGACCTTCCTGCTGGTACGGCGGGTGCCCGAGCGGGTGGTCGCCTGGTGGACACGCTGTCGGCGGCGTTCGGCCTTCGCCGCGGCGCGGAGGCGCGGCGGGGACGGCCTGGACCGGACCGCCGCCGAGGCCGCGGAGGTACCTGCGGGCCCGCTGCACCCGCCGGGGCTTGCAGCACTGCCGCCTCCGCCGTGGGCTCCACCCGCCGAGGGCGCTGGCGCGGGGGCCGCTGCGGCGAAGCCTGGCGCGCAGGACCTGTCGGCGCTGCGGGCGTTCGCCCAGGGGTGCGAGGTGCCGGGCCCCTTCAGCCAGACCGCGGCCATGCAGCAGCAGCAGCAGCAGCAGCAGCAGCAGCCACAGCCGACACCAGAGGTGGCCGTCCCAGCATCGGGGCTCAGCTTCCACGTGCCCCACTCTCCTGCAGATGCGGTGAAGCTAGGACGGGAGGTGGAGATAGTGGGCGCCACGCTGCGCGAGTTCCAGGCGCAGGCGGCCATCAACGAGGACTGGGCCTGGCACTTCTGGGAGAGGATCGCGGCCGTGGATGGCTCCAGGGGGCTGCACCCTGACCTACGACGAGTGCTGCAGACTCACGGCTACGTGGGAGCGGGGACGACGTCCCCGCCAGGAGAGTCGTTGCAGCAGGAGCTGGACGCGCTGCTCGCCTCCCCTACGGCGCCTCACGGCGGGGGCATGCACGCCTCCCCTGGGTGGGCCGTGGCCCCGCAGACCCAGCAGCATCAGGGGGGCAGCCGATGGAACCTGAGCCTCCCGCCGGAGCTGCGGCGCGCGGCGCCGGAGATCTACCGCACCATGCGGGGCGCGGGGGCGGCCAGCGCGCGGGACTGGCTGTCGCAGGAGGTGACGGGCCAGCGACACACGGCGGTCTGGACCGACCTGTGGACTGCCGCCACCAACGTGGACTACTTGTTGGGCGGTTGCGCGAACCAGTCCGAGCTACTCACCCGTTTGGCGTCCGACGATGCGCTGGAGCTGCACCTGAGGCGGCTGGCTAGCTACGTCTACGAGATGCGGACGAAGGACAAGGTTGGGGGGGCGGCCATGTTGGCTGTCCGCCCGCCCGGGTCAGCCGCCGACTTGGCTCCGACATGGCTGGTGACCGAGGCCGCGACCCACAGCCAGGCGGAGCACCAGCGCGACGAGAGGGTCCATGCCGCCAGCAAGCACGACGGTCGAGGCGGCGGCCGTGGCGGGGGCCAAGGCGGTGGAGCGGCGGGAGGCAGCGAGGTAGCCAGCAGCGGCCGAGGCCGAGGTGGCGATGGCGGGGGGCGCGGCCGCGGCCGAGGGGGAAAGCCCTCGGGTCGGGGCAAACCCCAGGCCTGACGGTCACTGGCGGACCGAGGGGCTCAGGGCCCTCCCTCGGTCCGAGCAGGTGCCCCGCCGCCGCGGGTGCAGCCTGGAATGCCAGTGACGGGTCTGTCAGGCTCGCTGACGCGGGCCCTGCAGTGGAAGGAGGCCGAGGCCAGGTCGTTCTTTCCCATACCTCTACCTCATCGGCCACAACAAGGAGCTTCCTCTTCAGGCAGGTTGAGGACGCGATGGGCACGACGCATGCGTGTGTGGCGTCGGGCCTGTGGGCTCATCGAGCTCATGAACGGGATGGGCCGCGGATCCCTGGAGGCGAGACCAACGGGCCAGCGCGAGACGAGCGATAACGAGATGATGCTGGCCTGGCAGCTCGTGCAGCAGTATGCGTTACAGGGCGCAGCGCGGTACGAGCGCGACTGCCGGGGGCTTGCCCCGACAGGCGGTCAAGGGGCGGATCTTGCCTGCGACAGAGGACCGCAGGACGCCTACACTGGAGAGCGCAAGGGTGTGAGCAAGCACGTGATGATGTGCGCAGCGGCGGTGGCAGAACCTCCGGACGACATGGTCGTGGACCTGCTGGAGGCGCTGCCCGACGGCGAGCGCCAGTACTATTCGGACGAGCAGAACGTCCTGGACTACAGCGGCAAGTCAGGGGTTCTCTTCGAGGAGCTGGAGGAACGCTTCGCTTTCGTGGGGGGCTCGACGTCCGAGTACGCCCGCTACCTGATGCGGGCCGATCTGCCGAAGGACATGTGGACGTTCGAGGACCCCAACGATGTCCAGGCCTATTGCGGGTTTAGTTGTGTACCCAAGAAGGACCCCGCCAAGCAGCGGAAGGTCCTGATGATGTGTGCCAGCAACTACGTGCGGGCGGACCCTCACCAGCGCGGCGACCACGGGATGCGCGGCGGGGCGGCCATCGCCTCCATGTGCGTCCCGACGGACGAGTGGGGAGTGGCTGCGTTCGACGAGGACAACGCCTTCACCCGCCTCCGCGTCCCCGCTTGGATGGCCAGGTGGCAGGCATGCCCGCCGATTCGCGCCTGCTGGGTGTGGGGTAAGCTCAGCCAGCGTCTGCGCGACAGAGTGGGGGCGACGGGCTGGGTAGCCCCCTGCTACCATCGCCTGGCCATGGGCGGCTCGCACTCCGTGCACCTGCTCATGACGGTCAACATGGCGATCATCGGCAGGGCGCTGCTGGGCGTGGGCGCACGCTTGGGGGCGCTCGCGGGCGCCGCGGCTCCCGCCGACGGCGCGGCCTGCTGTGCGCCACGCACCTCGCCGCCCGAGGACGGGGGGCTGGAGGCTGGCAGCCGCGGGGATGCCGAGCCTGAGGACACTCAGCAGCACCGCTACGACGACGACTGGCTAGGGCAGCAGCGCAGCTGCCGGGCTGCGCCGCCTAGCCCGAGGGGCTACAGCGTGGCGGAGTGGCTGGGAACAGTGAGGCGGGCGAAGAGGGATGACGAGCGTGTGATGGTGGTGATGCATCTCTTCGCTGGCCGTCGGCGGCGTGGTGACGTGCAGGAGGTGGGGGAGAGGCTGGCGAAGGAGCGGAGCTTGAGGGTGCTCTTCCTTTTCGCCGATCTCCTGGGCGACCCGCGGTGGGACCTGGCCAACCCCTCCACGTTCTCCGCCTTGATGGAGCTGTGCGAGGGCGGCTGGGTGGACATCGTACTGGGCGGTCCGCCCTGTTCAACCTGGTCGCGGGCGCGCTACAATCGTCGCCGACCTGGGCCGCCGCCGGTGCGATCGCGGCGGTGCCCCTGGGGGCTGCCAGGCCTCAGGGGCTGGGGGGCCGCCAGAGTCGCGGAGAGTAACACCTTGACGCTGAACTTGTTGGCGCTCTGCGAGGCGTGCGGCCAGAGTGGCGGCGCCTTCCTCATCGAGCACCCGGAGGACCCAGGGCATGCGCCCTACCCATCCATCTGGAACACGACTGAGATGCTGGATTTCGAGACGAGGCGCTCGTCGCGGAGAGCGTGCTTGGACCAATGCATGCTGGGCGGACGGACGAAGAAGCCCACGTGTCTGAGCGGCGCGCTGCAGGGGCTGGAGGACCTGAACGAGCTGCGGTGTGACGGGTCCCATGCCCGCGAGACGGCCGAGGGCAAGCTGGCCGACGGCACCTTCCGCGCGAGCCCGCTGGCCCAGTACCCCGAGGGGATGTGCGAAACGCTGGGCACCTTGATAGTTCAGACCCTGGCCATCTTCGAGCAGACCGGCTTGGGCGGCACCGGGTGGCGAAGGCCGCCGGAGGCCGACAGGTCGGTCACCGCCTGGAGCTCGCGGAGCACTACGACGCCAGCGGTAGCCGTGCGGAACGAGGATGTGCTTCGCGGTCGGGGGCTGGTGCTGGACGGGCCGCAGATGGCCTTCTACCTGCGCGTCGACGACGGGGTGGTGATGGCCGGTGGCAGCGGCTGTGGCCCACGGGCCTCTGGGAAGATGCACCAGCTGGCGGATGCCCTGGCCGAGGCCGGCTTCGTGGTCACTGACCGCACGGAGGCCAGCGACATGCAGAAGGTGCTGGGCTACGCACCGCAGGCGCGTCCGGCGCAGCTACGCTTGCCCCCGAAGAGGGCACGAGAGCTGGTGCAGCAGCTGGGGGCGATGGGCTCCACCCGCTCCCTCCACACCGAGGAGCTTCGGTCGCTCTTGGGGGTGTGGATCTGGGGCGCACTACTTCGGAGGGAGCTGCTCTGCATACCCAGCGCCGTCTTCAGGCTCCTGGAGAGGCGCCCGCACCAGAGGGTGTGCACCTGGGCCACCGTCCGCAGGGAGCTGCGGGCTATGGCTCGAGTAGTCCCACTGATGTACGCCGACCTGGGAGCCCCGCCAGCCCCCGTGTATTTCGCGGCGGACGCCATGGGCGCCAACGTGGAGGACGACGGCGGTTGGGGCATCCTGGTGACAGACATGAGCGAGGACATCGCGAAGGACTTCATCGACACGGGCGGCAACTTGGGCTACACCGTGGCGCGACTGGACGGCGAGCTTACTGGATTGCGGCGTCCCGAGCAGGTCATCCGTCGGACGAAGCCCTTCAGCCTCCTCCCCGACCGAGTGTTCAAGCCCGACGAGGACTGGGCGATCGTAGGAGCGGGGAGGTGGCGGGCGGCCGACCACATCACGCTGGGCGAGGGGCGCTGCGTCGTGAAGATCAGCAGGCTGGCGGCCGCCACTCCGGCTCTACACCGCACCGTGCTGCCGATCCTGGAGGACAACCAGCCAGTCTCGGGTGCGGTATGCAAGGGGAGGTCCCCGGCGCACATGTTGAACCACCTGTCGCGTCAGAAGACCGCAGCAGGGATGGCATCTCGTACGAAGATTCTGATTCCATGGGTGGAGACGCTCAGGCAGCCTGCTGATAAGATATCGAGGTGCCTGACTTGTGCTGAGCTCCGCGGCCTACCTCATGTCGGGGCCGAGGAAGCTGGACAGCACTTCTGTTGAGAAGGTAAAGCCGCACACCCTGGCAGCCTACAGGGCGGCGGCTATGAAGTTCGTGACCTACCTGGACGAGCGCGGTTTTGTCCCCGACGGGCCCGAGCAGTGGGACGACCTGCTTGTCGAATACAAGAACGACATGCAGATGACCAAGTGCAATTTCGAGTACGCTGTCGCGGCAATGGAGTTTGTCTTCCCGCGCCTGAGGAGGAAGCTGACTTGGTCCCACTCGGTGATTGACGCATGGCGAGTGTCGGCCGAGGTGAAGCACGCGCCGCCGCTCGGCCGCGCGCCGGCCAACCTGGCCGCTATCTATTTCTCCTGCTGGGGCGTGCCGCGGCTGGGGGTAGGCTTGCTACTACAGGTGGACCGCGGCCTGCGCCCGTCGGAGATGCTTCAGCTCAGAGCAAAAGACATATCATTGCCATCGTCGAGAGGGGGGCCTGATTTGCAGCCAAATTGGGTTATCAACTTGGGAGCCAAGTCGGGGACAAAGGCCAAAAGGATGCAGTTCGCCATTATTCTGGAGCAGGGCGGAGTACTGGAGAACCTCTTGCACCGAGTAGTCTTGGGAACGCCGCCCGAGGGGCTCCTCTTTCCTTACTCGCTTGTCGACTACAGGCATCGGCTCAAGCAGTTTGAAGCAGCCCTGGGCCTCGACATTCACTGGGCGCCACACTCGGCGCGCGCAGGTTTCGCCAGCGATTCCGTGGCTCGTGGTGTCCCCTTCCAGGACATCAAGGAGGCAGGACGGTGGCTCACCGAGTCCAGCCTCCGCATCTACGTGGACGTCGTCACCGCCTCCCGGGTCCTGGCGCAGGCTGAGCAGCGAGGAATCGCACCGCTCATCCGCGAGGCGGCCGAGAAGCTGCCCCACTACTTCCCGGAGGGCATCTTCGGCGAGGGGGAGGGCCTCCAGCATGCCGCCAGCGGGTTGGCGCAAGGGCCAGGACGGCGCCTGGGTGCTGCCGACAGAGGGAGTCCCTCCAGCGCCGCTGGCGGGGGGCCGCCGGGTGGCCTCGCCAGCGCCGCGGGCCCCAGCCCAGCCGCCTGCGCCAGCACTGGGCGCACTGGTGGATGGGCTGCTGGCGGGTCCGCAGCAGCCGGGGGATGCAGCGGCGGGCGCGGGCGCGGCCGAGGCCGAGGCGCCAGCGCCGGCGGCCCCAGGCGTGGCGGCACTGAGGCCCCCGCAGCCGCTGGCGGCGCAGCCGCTGGCAGCGGGCGCGGCCGCGGGGCAAAGGCGCGCGCGCTGGAGCAGCTGGTCGCTGTTGCGCGCGGCCTGGCTCATCGCAAGGTGGTGCGGACGCTCGACTACTCGAGGAGTGACGTGGGCGGCGGTCGCCGCGATGCTGATCGGGTGGGGCTACATGGCCGGGCCGCTCACCCACCTCGGGACCATGATGGGTGTCGTGGCCAGCGTATCAGTCTCGGCTGGCAAGGTGGTCGACAGCAGCCTCGGGGCAGTCATCACGGCAGCACAGGGCGTGTCCGACTTCGCCGTGACGTCGTCCCGCAGCTCGGCGAGCCTCCTGCAGGAAGCCTGGCGGGGGGTCGACATTACCAACCTGCGCGTCCGCCAGCGCCACGCCGAGCGGCTAGCGGACGACCCCGAGATCCTGCACGCCTGGATCGAGCGCGAGTTCCTGACAGGCGAGCCTCGCCCGCCAGGAGCCGAGCAGGTCACCGCCGCGATCTCTGAAGCTTCGGTGAACATACCTCACATGTCAGAGAGATGGCAGATGATGATCTGGCCAAGTCAATACCGCGAGCTGCACATGACACTTGACCTGCTGCCGTCCGGGTTCTACGGAGTCCACACGGTCGAGCGGATCGTAAACTTCTAGGTTCAGTGGAGCAACCCAGTCTGGAGCAGCCTCGACTGCGACCTCAGCTCAGAGCGAGATACAGTCGTGGCGCACATAAACTCCACCCTGGAGGGGCTCCCACTGCCCGAGATACGCTACATGTCCATGACTGATCGTGAAATTCAAGTTGCCAGGCTCCCAGGTGCCTGGATCAACATTGCCCGTAGGCTACTTCGTGCTGTATATATGGCAGTTAAGAGTGTGTTGCAGCTCGTTTTGTTCGGAGTCTAGGGTGGTCACCGAAGATTTAGGAGTTTTCTGGTGCACACTGCGAGGGCGGGCCGGGGGGGCTTGCTTTCAATTTTGATTGTGTTCCAGGTTCCTTCTCAACTCATCAAGGTCCGAGCACATTTTGTGCCCCGGGTGAAGGACCAAGCTGTTGAGACACATACAGCTCGCAAGCGGAGGTGGGAAGAGCTCGGCGGCAAACTGAGTTTAGCAAGCCTTGAAGCAATTTTATTGTACTTCTCGCCTCCTCAGCAAAACATTCCCGGGGTGGGTCGAAACGGACACCATCATGGGATAATAATCGTAGAGCATGAGTGTTGATGTGCACCGACAGTTTGGGGTGGGATCGTGGAATTTTCCTTGGAGCCTCGGAGCCCGCAGGGGCGTGCCAGCTTGTTGGGGGGCCTTTTCGCCGGTGGGCCTCGTTCCCGGCCTGGCTCCCCTCGGCCCTCCAAAACGGGTGGGCTCGGTAGGTTGTGTTTTGGTTGCCCGTGAAGGCCCCCCTGCCCTCGCGTGTGCGGCACGGCCTGCTCCGCAACCGTACCATATGGCTCCAATCTGGTACAGATTATCGCGACCCCCCCACCGTCCCCCGCCGAGCCGATGATGATGATGATGATGATGATGATGATGATGATGATGACGATGATGATGATGATGATGATGATGATGATGATGATGATGATGATGATGATGATGATGATGATGATGATGCTGATGCTGATGCTGATGCTGATGCTGATGCTGATGCTGATGCTGATGCTGCTGATAATGATGCTGCTGTTGCTGCTGCTGATGGAGGAGGAGAAGGAGGAGGTCGGAGGGCGGAGGGCAGAGGCAAGAGGAGCAGCAGGAATGCCGCCCTCCGCTCGCGCCCACTGCGAGGTGCGCAGTCCGCGGCTCGTGGCACTGCAGACGCTGGCGAAGCGCTCCGGCAGCAAGGCGCTGGCGCGCATCGCGGCGCAGGCGCGCGCGGGGTGGAGGGCCAGCAGAGCGCCCAGACCCCCAATCGAAGAGGAGAAGTCCCTCCCTCCCCCGCCGTTCTCCTTCGCTCCTCCCTCCCTTCACCTCCTCTCGCCCTCCTCGAGATGCCGAGGCCCTGCATTCATATCATCCGCACCGGCCTAGAGTGTCGCAATCCGCAGCTGCTACCGCTTTAGACTGGCCTCCGAAGCGCCTTTGCTTTTTTTATTCTTCCTCCTCCTCCTCCCGCTCTCTTCCTCTGCCCCATACCTCCTTTAGAGAAGCAGATGAGTTCGCATAAGCACGTCGCGCCGAACAGGACGTTCGGGCCCCTCGTGGGTTCTCGGGCGTTTCGGTGGGTTCCTGCAGGTTTCTCACCTCGAGATGCTTTCCCGCAGCTGCGCCTCGTCGAGAGCGCTCCGTGGGTGCCTGGATCGTCCCGAACGGCCGCCCGAGGCCTGGCGCGTGACCCGAACACCACCAGGCGTCGAAGGCGGTTGGAGGGCCTCCAGTCACAGACCCCCTCGGGTCGTAGCAACAAAACACGACGCGTTGTTTTTGGTGTTAGCAGCTCTGATACGCACGTTTTGAAGCGTAACACGTGCGGTGTTCAAAACGTCCATGTTCAAAACGTACGTGTTCAGCTACGTGTTGAGCTTCGTATCAATACGCTGCGTGTTGCGTGTTGCGTGTCGGGGCAGCGAAGTTTTTGGTCGTTTTCGGCATCTGGGGTCATCACCTGTTCCTGGGGCCGTATAAAAGGTGACTCAGGATGAGATCTGCTCCCCGGGAAGGGGTCCAGCCATCGGGGGGTCCATGTCGTGAAGTAATCATGACGTCGGGGGTCTGGGGAAGACCGCCTAGACTTCCAGTCGTATACGACACGTAGATGTAAACATAACGCGGATTTCTCGGGCCGGGGCCGGACCCCCTTGGCGCGCTCCTCTCGCCAGGTATAGATTCCAGCGCCGATCGAAGAAATCCGCGCGGACCTTCGAGAGTTCACCGGGAGGCTGGGCAGACATGGCGCGCCCTGCTTTGGCGAGATCTGGATACAGTGGGGGCCCATTCCAAGAAACACCCTGCTTGCCTCGAGGATGCACTGGGTTTCTTGGGTTTCGGTGTTTTTGTCTATGGAAATCGTGACGCTCCCACACCGAAAATCCATGGACATCTTGGGGTCTCCAGGTTGAGTTTCTTGTGGAACGTTTCTTGTGGACTGGCCTCCACTGTACACGATTGGCGACATGTCTCTCCAGCGCTCGGCACTCGTGTGGCCAGGCACGCCAGCCCTCCGCATGTGTACCAGGCGGCGCGCGGTCTCCAGATTCTCCGTACGCGAATCCAGCCATGTGCGTTCCCAGCCTCCTGGGTTGTATACCCAACTTTGACGTGGGACTCAAATGGATCATTGGGCGGTGATAACAGGGGTGATTGAAAGGGTGTCTTCAGGGGTCTTGTGATCGGTGGCCAGAAGTAACTCCCGAACAAAACGCTGGCGCGCGTGACGTGGATCGAAGAAGACAAATCGGTATCAGCAGAAACTGTCAGATGCCCGCGTAAGTTTCCTGGGTCGGCGCGGGCCCCCCTCTTTCTGGCGGCGCCTCTGGGGCCGCCCCCCAGTGCGCCGATCCCAGGAACCCGCGCGGACCTCCCCTGTGCAGTCCTCCCTCCCGCCAGGACCAGAGAGAACCTCCTAGAACTCTGGGCGCCCTGAATTCGAGTAGGAGATCAAATGCAGAATTGACTCACCCCAAAGTTGTTTTTCTCCGTCGAATCGCCGAAGAAATACGAAGTAGCCCACGAACGTTTTGCTTTTTTCCTTCCTTGATGCTACGAATAATCAATTTCGGAGTAGATCAATTCTGTAGTTGATCCCCTACTCGATTAATGGATTCGGGGTGGATTGTGTCCCTCACCACCTTCGGTCTCCAGGGGCGTTTTTTCTAGGCCCAAGAGGCCTGGTCCTTCAGCATGAAATTCATGGGTGGTTAAATTCAGCATCGGCGCTGGTGCATCTATTGTCGAAAGCAGGCGAAATCCAGCCGGCACCATGCAGTCGAATTCCTGCTCATCCTGCCTGGTCTTGTCTGATCGGGCTTAATCCTTGGCTCAATCTGGACAGATACGGCTAGATGGCATCTAGATCTGGCTCAGTCGCCTCTAGTCGTCCTTACGAAGGCCTCCCAGGAATTGCCCTCTCAAGGTCCGGGGGGGCAGCGAGCCGAGAGCTCCAGGAGTCAGTATCGTTTGACCGATCCCTATCCCCAGCCCCATCCCAACCCCCACGATCCCACCACCCCAGTTGGGGATATGCCCCTCGCAAGCCGAAGGGAAGAGTTTATATCCCCATCTAGGTGGGTGAATCGGCCAGTGGGGCCCAGGCCACGCCAGTGGGGATAGAGATCGGTTAAAAGATGCTCCGGGGGGGCCGTGCGCTAACAAGTCAAAGGCACTGCAGCTCTGCGCACGTGATGTGCATGCACAAGTACGGTAGGTTCGCGTCGTGTCGACCGGAGGCGACCCGCCGCCCAGAGGCGACCCCGCCGCCGGCGTTCAACGTCGGATTCCGCTGGGGACCCTCCAAGAGGAAAACACTCCATTAACATGAACTTTCGGAGCTTTGCGCAGGTTTCTTGGGTCTTCGCTGGAACCCCCATGGCGGCGCGCCAGGGAGGGGACTCCAGCTGCAGATCAAGAAAAATCTGCGCGGAGCTCCAACAGTGTCTATTTATGCCGCGTTCTCTTCTTCCAGGTTCCCGGCTCTGGACCCAGAATCGGTCGATGTGCAGCGATCTGACGTTTGGGAAGCGGGCGGTCCTTCAAGCTCGAGAACTCCCCGCGGTGAGCCAGCGTTAAGTCGGGGCTGTCCCTCTACAGGAGGAATATCCCAAAAGACTCAAAAATAGTCGGGAGACGTTTTTTTTGGGTGGACTATTTTTGAATATTTTTGGAGTATTTTTGGGGTATTTCTTAGAGACTCTTTTTTTAGGGTCGGACGATAACCCGGGTTATCGGGCTTGCCCCCCCCCTCCCCCCCCCCAGGATAATCTAACCTTGCCGGTTGTGCAGGTCCGCGGGAGGGGGTGGCGCGGGCATATGCAGGGCTGCCCACAGCGCGAGGGTCAGGTTATCGGCCGGCCCCCTCCTCCCCCCCCCTCCCTTGGATAACCCGGATCATCGCCGATTCAATCAAAAAAAACGGTCTCCTATTTTTCGTCCAGACTCCGCCTGTGGGGGACGTGCCCGACGCGACGCCGGCGCCGAGGTCGGCGCGCGGCACGAGCCTGCCGCGCGCGGGGGGGGGGGGCCTCGGCCGCCCGCGCGCCCCATGCAGAGGTCTGCTGGTCGGGCCCCCCCTGCGGCGTCCGAGATTTTTTGTTTGGGAAGCAAACAAACATATAATTGTGTGTATATATATATATATACACATTTGATGCGCGCGCGCCCCCCCCCGTTGCTGCTGCTGCTGCTCCCGCGTCTCCTTCCCCGCCTGTGTCCCTCTGCGTCCTCCCCCTCCTCCTCCTGCCCGAGCGTGGCAGGAGGGGTAGGGGGGTCCACTCCTGCGCCTTGGCCCCGCAAGCCAAGTGCCCAATCCAGTCCAATGCTCCTCTTCCTCCTCCTCCTCCTCCTCTGCCGCTTCCGTCCTTCGCGCTCCGTCCTCTGCCCTCCCTCCTTCTTCTCCTCCTCGCTCGCTCGCTCGAGCTGAGGCCGTCGAGTTCGTGGCCTATCCCAGGACAGTGGAACTGGGAAGAGGAGGAGAGAGACGAATAGAGCAGCCCACCTAGGGACGGTTCGATTGTGCATGGCAGCCGCAACATCAAGGGCCCCATCCAGTACCCGCACCTCCTCCTCCCTATCACCTGGCACCTGGGCGTCGTGCGCAAATCGTGACTGGCGGTTTTTCCCAGAGAGCCTCCGGGCCCCCTGGATCGACGCGCGCCGAGGTGGCGCCGGGAGCCCCCCTGGCCGAGGGCTCTTCGCTCGGCTGCGCGCAGCAGCTGCCCTTCGCCTGAGTGCCCCTTTGGTGCGGGCACGACGTCGGACGCCTGCTCGGCAGCCGCCGCCCCCGCTCCCGTCCGCCAGCTCTGCCGCTGCCTCCCCGAGAGGTGCAGGCGGGCGGCTACTTCGACAAGGCCCCGCCGCTCGCACAGCTGCCGAGGGGCTCGTGCCGCCGCCACCGTCGTCGTTGCCGCCGCCGCCGCCGCCGCCGCCGCCGTCGTCGTCGTCGTCGTCGTCGTCGCCGCCGTCCTCGCTGCTGTCGGAGGGTGTGCTCCTTGGCCTGCAGGGGGCAGCATCTGGGTGAGGCCAGAGAGTGCGGTTTCAAGTGGCCGTGGCCCGTAGACGAGACGACGATGTGTTTGAGCAGCACGTTGAACAATGAGGACTGCAACCACATGCAAACGATGGCGGCCTCGCTCTATTGACCGTGAGCCTTCGCAGCGAAATGAGCCAAGTCCAGCAAGCACCAAAGAGGAGACCATCATGAACAAAACTCAGACGCAGTTATTCCAAACCGATCCTTCGGCGAGGCGTGCAATCAACGAGATCGCAGCAGCTTGGAATGCGACAATGTCCGCCGCTTAATCAGACCCTGCGCGCACGCTTCCATCTCTTGCAATAGTGCTTCCCTTGGGGAAGTGGGAAAGCGGTGTACATGCACGGAGAGCCGCGCCTGGACGTCGCATCGGCAAGATTGGTTTGGTAGTAGTCATGTGCATACAGTAAGAATGCTTGCTTGGAAAGATGCACGTGCAAGCGCGCCATTGCAGTGCCTCGGGAAGCGTTCGCTGGATGCCTTGCCCTTGCGAGGCGCGAGGGCATGCTGCAGTACGAGGGGACAGAGAGAAGAGGAGGTGGAGGTGGCGAGAGCAGAGTTTCGATGCAAACCAATCGATGCAACATCTGCATGCCATTGCCCCAGCGTTCCACGCAGTACGTCTTGCAAGATGTCGGGGCCAGTTCTTGGAACAGCCAAAGCTTGAGCGTAAGGGTGAGCGTACAGGTAAATCTGCATTTCCTCCCGGAAGCTAGATAGGGGGCCAGATGCGAACCCTACCCCTACCCCCCACGATTTCTGAGGGGGAGGGTGGGGTTCACTTCGTTCGGGAGCTCCCGAGCGAAGTGAACCCCACCCTCCCCTTCAGAAATCGTGGGGGGTAGGGGTAGGGTTCGCATCTGGCCCCCTACTAGAGTCACAGTGCGGAGTTCCGTGTTTCCGTGCGGCTTCTCATCACTGCCAACCGCCGCAGCCATCGGGAATTGCCGTGTGAGTGCTCCAGGAGTCCGGGGGGGGCCAGGTGATCGGCGAAGTCGACGAGATGATTGCCTTGCTGCGGAGGGAAGAGAAGATGGACGCCGCACTCGCATGCTTTTCTTCGCACCGTATGCGTCCCACAGTCGTGTTCGACTCCGCACATGTGCATTGCATCGCCCACGTGTTCTGTGCAGGTGTCAGTGTTCGCTGTTCTAGCCTGCCAGTTTCTTTTGTTTCTCTCTCTCTCTCTCTTTCTCCTTCCCTGGTTCGTTGTCTCATTCAAGCGCAGTCCCCTATCTCTCTCTCTCTACCTCCGCTTTTCGCGTCTGACGTGTTTAAGCGGCACGCGGAAACCACGCACATCAATTTTCTTGACGCGTCGTGTATCCCCACCAGCCTTTCCAGAAACGACTTCCAGGCGAGTTGTTGCCAGAAGCATAGTTAGCGAGCATTCGTGGAACAAAGAGGTATGACGTCACTCACACCGACGTTGTGGTCAGCCCGGTCAGCCCCCAACAGTGATCACGTTGGGGGGGACCTCTTGGTGCCATTGCGATGTTTCTTGGAGCCATCTTGGGGTTCTGTCTCGGGTCTTTTTGAAGCCTTCGGGGCCCCCTGACGCTCTCTTGGGGCCCTTTTGGCAGTCTTTCCTGCGCTCTCTGGGAGATGATTGGAGGGAGCCGATCAGCGGGCGGGCGGGTGGGTGGGCTAATCAGCCTCTCCTTCGAAGCCAGACGTATCGCCTCTCGGAGCACTCGGGGTGCGTTCGTGGGGTGCCCTTGGGGCCGCTCGGGCCCTCTCTGGGTCTTCTCGGCCTCTCATCACGCCACTAGGGGGCATCTTTGGGTCACTTTGAAGGCCTCAGAAGCCCATCGGGGGCGCACGTGCGAGAAGGCAAGCACTAGCAACGTATTCCAGGTTTTGGGTGATGTTGGCCCTTTGGAGGCACTGGGCGGCTCCATGGCCACCTCGGACTGTCTTGGCGCTGTCTTGAAGCCTCTTTGAGGCATGCTGGATACCACCTTGAGCCAAGTTCGACCATCCCGTGCGATGTTGGATGCAATCTTGGGCTATCGGATGCGAGCTCCCTGGGTCCTCGCAGCCCCCCGTGTCCAGACCTCAGGGAGGAGGTAGGGGGCAGGGGTGTAAACCCCTCCCCGAAGCGGAAGAAGGGGACGGCTCTCCCAGGGAGCGAAAGCCGAGGGGCCCGATTGGCTTTGTCAGAACCGGTTTCTCCTTCCTGGGCTGCGGGAACTCACCACCCACCAAGCCACCCCAACCCAACCCGAAGGCCCCAATTTGCCCTCCATTTCCAGTGGGGGGGGTGTCGGGGAACATGGGAACAAAAACACATGGAACCCGTACCCCCCCCAACCCGAAATTCGGGTCAAATTCGGGTCTTCGGGCTGGGCTGGGGTGGTCTGGTAGGCAGCCAGGAACAGGCGCCGTGCCGTGCGCGTCGTGCTCGTGCTGTGCCCCCGTTCGCGAGTGGGGCAAAAAGGTGCCCTGCCGTGCCGCGCCCGCGTGCCACGCCGTGCCCGCGTGCCGAGCCCGTGTGCCCGTGTGCCCGCGCCGAGTTCCCGGGCACGGGCGTGCCGTCCCGTGCAGCGCTGCTGTGCAGGGTCGCTTCTCAGGGGCAGCGAGAAGGGGGGGACAGGCACAGGGGGGGGATGCATCGACCCCCCCAATCGCCCATTGATCGCCGATAGGGGCCCGATAGCCCCAACCTGCCCAGGAAGGTGCGGATTCACTATCGGAGGCCTATCGCCGATCTATCGACGACGTATCGCCGATTCCAGGTTGATGCATCCCCCCCTATGCCCATCCCCCCTATCGTTGACCCTCATCTTTGCCCGTGTACTCTCGACAGAAGGCAAAGCGGCACCATCCCCACCTGCGGTCCTCCATGTTGCGCTGCGGCCCATCGGGGGCCGCACCGCATGCCAGGCAAAGACCCACGCCAGATTTCCTAGCATATGCTCAGCCCCTTGGGGCCGTAGGTTGGGTGGTGTCTCTTGTTTTCTGGTTTGTAATTTGGTGGAGCTCGTACTCTGAACCATCTGCACCCAGAGGGCTGGTCAGATTACGACTGGGTCCCACGTGTGCACCGAGTTTCCCACGTGTGCACCGAGTTTCGGCGCAGCTCTCCAGAGTGCGGCCGAAGGAGGCCTCCCCGTGCTAATTCGCACGCATCCAGCGCTCCTCCCCTGGTGCTTTTTGGAGGGCTCGTTCGGATGCAACTCGTGGGAGGTTAAACCCAACTTGGCGCTGGTGTAAAGCCCGGCCTCCTCTTGTTTCATCATACTCAATCCCGTTTAATCCCGCTTCGTCGGGTTGGCTTCAGAGGTCGAGGCTCCTCGCCTCAGGGGCACCGACAGGGGGGGCTCGAGGCCCGAGGCTCGAGGTTTTCGCACGCCTTCGTCGGCTCCTGTGGGCTCCTCCAGCCTCGGAGTGCTCTCCAGCACCTGCGCCTCGCCGTGGGCGTCCCAGAGGTGCCCGAGTCGTCCCGCGCGGCCGTGGGTTACTGGCTCGAACACTGTTCCTGCTGGAGGCGACGCCCCGAGACGCCCAGGCATCGCCGAGATGGGGCCTTTTCGGACGGGGCTAGGATTAAGTCGGGCGTGTCGCCCTACAGGGGGATTTCCGACAAATGAAAAATACACCAAAAATACACCAAAAAGGTAAAAAAAACAATTCAAAAAATAGTCCCCAGACCATTTTTGGACTATTTTTTGATTATTGTTGGGGTATTTTTTCATTTTTCGTCGAAAATCCCCCTTTAGGGGGACAGGCCCGACTTAGACGAGGCTAAATCCGTGCCAGAGCGTTCCGGAACGCTCTCAAAGCGCACCGCGGCGCCCGAGACGTCCTCCATAGGGGGGGGGTCGGTCTCAGAGATCCTCGATTCATCCTGACCCGATTTTTCCCAACCGTCCTGTGGTGTTGGGTCCTCGTTTTGAAGATACAGTGCCCCGCGTTCTCCTTCCTTCCTTCCTCCCTCCCCCTCCTCCCTCCCCTTCCTCCTCCGATCCCTGCCTCTGCCCCTCCGAACCAGTCAACCATTTTGGCAGACTCTTCACACTTTTCCTGGCCCCACAGGCAGCCCTACCGAAGGCCCAAGTGTCAGCGTTCGCATGCGCCCGCCGCGCTCATTTTGGCACACCCCTCACATGCTTCTTGGCCCCATAGGGAGCCCCACCATAGGGAGCCCCACCAAAGGCCCAAATGCCAGCGTTCGCACGCGCCCACCGCACGCATTTTGGCACACCCCTAACACGTTTCGTGACCCCACAGGCAGCCCTACCAAATGCCCTCACGCGTTTCGTGGCCCCACAGGAAGCCCCACCGAAGGCGACATGCCAGCGTTCGCATGCACCCACCCCTTCACACGTTTGGTAGCCCCATTGGGAGCTCCACCGAATGCGGTGCATACAAGGACGGTGCCCACAACTGTAGATGTGTGGGTTTTTCGCCGAAGGGCCAAATGCCAGCGTTCGCATTCGCCCACCGCATCATTGTGGCACAGCCCTCACACGTTTCGTTGCTCCATAGGGAGCCGCACCGAAGGCCCAAATACCAGCGTTCGCAGCACCCATCGCACCCATTTTGGCACACCCCTCACACGTTTCGGGGCTCCACAGGGAGCACTACCGATGGCCCAGATGCCAGCGTTCACATGCGCCCACCGCACACATTTTCGCACACCCCTCACACGTTTCGTGGCCCCATAGGAAGCCCTACCGAAGGCCCAAATGCAAGCGCTCGCATGCGCCCACCGCACGCATTTTGGCACGCCCTCCACACGTTTCGTGGCCTCATTGGGAGCCTCACCGAAAGCCCAAATGCTAGCGTTCGCATGCGTCCACCGCACGCATTTTGGCGCGCCACTCACACGTTTCGTAGCCATTTTGGCTCAAGGTGGCACAAGTGGCACACATCTGAGTACACTTACCAGCCCTGCTATCCTTCCACACCGTATCCAATTGATTATTATTTTTCTCTTCTTGCTCTCGCTTCTGGTTGGACATTTTGATCGCCATGCCGGAGAGTCACCCAATCGGTACGCCTAAAGATGGGAAGGCTCAGAAGCAACAGCGCCTCCGCAGCCCATTGCATGAAATGGATGACGCCCCTCCCGGCGCGACTATGGCACAAAGTTCAGACAGCGGTGCCGTGATACCGAGGCGCTTGGTATATTCCGGCGTCGACGTGGAGCTACCGCCTCAGAACATCGAGAACCCCGAGGCCGCAGTCACAATGGGAGCTATGAGCAAGCTGTTCCGCGACTACATGGCACCCATGATCAACATTACCCGGGCGCTTGGAAAAGATTTCAAAGACTTTAAATCAACAGTGGAATCTGGAATGGAGGAGCTTGAAATACGCCAAACAAACTTGGAGGACGACATCGAAGAGCTACGCGGAGAACTACAGTCGATGCCGATAACCATTCCAGAATCAATTGAACAGCGATTCCAAACAGTGGAGCGGGAACTATCAGAACTGAGACAAATTACCACACCAAGGTCGATCGGAGCATCCACGGTAACCGGACAATCCACTTCGACGACTCTCGTGATTGGGGGCCTTCCGCACGACACTCTATTCGATGCTGATCGCTGGGTTGCAAAAATCTTCGCATATGCTCAGTGCGAGATGCCCCTGAAGACTTACAAGAAAGGCCCCCCAGCAGAGCCTTTCAAAGGTATGTTTTTCTCCGAGTTCAAATCCCAAGAGTCGTCAGACAAAGCACTCCCAATTCTTCAAGCAGCATGCGAAACGCTAAAGCCAAAAGAAGGGAGTCGTCGCGTTTGGTGCGGCGCGGACGCTCCAATCGAGCAGAGGACCGCCACTTCAGTATTGCTGGGGCTTCGGTATCTCCTTACGCAATGGGGATTCGAGAAGAAATTCCTGAAGGTCGACGGCGACGCCGGAATACTGAAAGCTGGGGGGAAGGAAGTATTAAAAGTGAATGCGGTAAATTTCAAACTACAGCTACTCTGGTTGGATACCGACTGAGAGGCTTGGGAAGAATTGCAAAAGGCACCAGAATGGGATGACTTGCAAAAGAAAGGCCACGGAGCGCCTGGACAGGAG